GGCTGGGAAGCAAGTGGCTCAGAGCACACAGGAGTGACATGCTCTGCTCTATACAGCTGACTCCATCCTTGATGCCAGTAAGCCAAGAGGAGAAAGCCCTGGCTTCATCACACCATTCTAGGGCAGAAACTCGTTTTGTTCTTTCTGAATCAGGAAGCCCTTGATTATTCATAGTAAGCTCCTTAAAATCTTGTAGAAATATTTGGATTTATAGCGGATTTAGCTTTTAAAAGCCTTTTATCAAGCTTTGTTTGTGAGATGTTTAGAGACCGCATTTGTAAAATATGAAGAGAGACTGGACCTCTGTGGCTGCCAGGCTGATTTTGACTGGAGACAGAGCTGGGTAAGGGACATGCTGGGTCATAGGACACTCTGCCAGCCTGTTAGTGAGCACAAGCAGCGAAACACAGAGCCAGGCTGCAGAGGACTCACAGAGAATAAGAGAAACACTAAGCAAGTCACAACAAGATGATGGGTGTCTGATGACTCCTACAGCAAGAAGTCTGGACCCTGAGTCCAGATGGACACTTTTGTCAGATCAGCTTGTTTTCTGTTGTGTTACTCCAGGTCTCCCAGGTACAGCTGTGCCAGGCACTTCCTCTCCTACTTGTTGGCCAGGCAATTCTGTTATGAAGTCAGAAAAACATGGATTATTAACTTTCCAGAAATTAGAGTGAACACTGGGGAAATTAGTGCTCTGTGAGCATGCAGGCATCACTAGCAACATTTTCAAATGGAAAAATAAAGATTAGGCAAAAATTCACACCAAACTGTGTTACAAAACCACTATGAGTTTTTGTAACTAACTGGCCACAGGCAGCCATCTGACTTTGAAGGGCTGCTACAGTGGTCTTTCACAGAGATTTCCCGAGAACACTACACAAACCCTGAAATAAAAACATTCTCAGAAATGTTTTCCTTGGAGCTAAGTTTCTCATGCTAGCCAAAGAGAATATTTTAAGAATCCCCCAACTGCACTAGAGATGGGGTTAGAGGAAGGACCGCAGAGTTTGAAGTCCTCTGACAGCAAGGTCCATACCATCTTTCAAAGATCCAATATAAAAACTTATAACCTCAGAAGCTGGAGAGATGGCTCAGCGGTTAAGAGCACCAGCTACTCTTAAGGAGGTCCTGAGTTCAATTCCCAGCAACCACATGGTGGCTCACAACCACCTGTAATAGGATCTGATGCCCTCTTATGGTACGTCTGAAGATAGCTACAGTTTAGTCATATACATAAAATAAAAAATTAAAAAAAGCAACCCCCCCCCAAAAAAAAAACAAAAAAACCCATACCCTCAACATCAAGGGAAGCTGCAGTCTGTGAAGGCCATAATGTATCTAAAACTACATGCCTCAAATTAAGAGGCAAATTAAGTTGTAAGCCAGTAAACTTTAGAAATCTTGGCTGTTGAGTTTCTTAATGGTGGCAACAACCATCTTACTCAAATAAATATATCAGTTGGTATTGACTTTACTTTTAAAATTTGAGATGGAAAACTGAGGCACATGGCTCTGTCAGTAAAGTGTAGCTCACAAGGGTGAACTCTGATCCTCAGAACCCAAGTAGAAAGCTAAGTACAGGGGTACACCTGCAATCCTAGCCATAGTGAGCCAAGAGGCAGAGATGGACAGATCGCCACAAGTTGATGGGCCAGAAACTCTGGACAACTTGGCAAGGTTCCAGGCCAGTTTCACAGAGAAGCTAGAAGGTATCTGAGGAACAACACTGAGGCTGAGCCCACATAGGCACCAGGTGTGCAGGTTCCTGTTCAAGGATACCATGTACGGTCATACACTTGAGCACACAAACACAAGTAAAGCAAAACAATAAAATAAACTTGTATGAACACAGGAAGGGAGGCTTGCAAGGCACAGTCCCTTCTGTTTCATGACTGGTGTAAGTGGAGAACATGGTCTGCTTCATTTCTAGACTTATTCTTAGACTATTCTGGTGCACACATGCAGAGAAGGGGAGAACCTGGCAGCTGTCAGTGACAGGAGCAGGTATCTGCTTGATGTGGCCGATGCTGGTGCTACACAGTTCTGTGTTAGCGCCTGCTGGCACAGCAGTCATTTTCAATTTGCATGAGATGCAAACCCCCAAAACAGAGTTTTCAAAACCAGAGAGGGACTGCCGACTGTGACACAGTAGTTGAAGGTTCTAGGAAAGCTGAAGTATTTGATTGGATATGGGGCCTGCTCCATGAGAAGAATTCAAATCTGGTTCTGTAACCCAGAAATCCATGGCTCTCAAGTCACAGGCTCTAGTGAGGAATTTGCTAACAGTGTTAGGCAGGGTGAGGTCAAATCACCTTCTAAAGACATCTTAGAGTGCTGCTGTAGTCTGCCTTGCAGAAAGAAGGCAGTAGCTAACACAGAAACTTGTAATTGAGAGTAGATGCTGTTGAGTGCTTGGCTTCTACACCACCTTCTTCGAGACCCAAGGAACAGCAAAGAAAGAGGATGCAAAGCTTCTGGGAGCTGGAGGATGAGAAGTAGTTCCATGATTCTGATTTATTTTACACACTGTTTTTATATAAAACTACAGTGACCATGGATAGCAACAATGGCAGTTTAAATGAGAATGGCCCCATAGGCTCCTGTTTGGATGCTTGGTCCCATTAGTGGAACTGTGTGAGAAGTAGGAGGTGTGGCCTTGTTGGAGGAGGTGTGTCTTTAGGGGTGGGCTTTGAGGTTCCAAAAGCCCATGGCAGGCTCAGTGTCGCTCACTCTCTGTCTGACACCTGGGAATCATAATGTAAGTCCCCAGCTACTGCGCCAGTGCCATGCCTGTCTGCATCCTGCCATAGTAATTACGGACGAATCATCCTCTAACGGGTAAAGATGGATGGAGCAGAGACCGAGGGTCCTCTAGTCCTTATTCACAAGCAGGGTGCTAACATTTCAAAGCCCATGCCTTAGGCTCCTTCCTGCTCCAGATACTCACCCTCCTTAAAAGCACCCCTCATTCTCAGTATCCCATAGTCTCCTTCTATCTCTTGCTCCCTCTCAGTGTTCCTCCTCTTCCCGCCCCTTCTCCATCCTCCTTCCCTCCCTCCCTCTCCTCCTATTCTCCCTTCTCTTGAAGGACATAGCTCTCGCCATGTCCAGTTGGCTCCTCCTTCTCTCTCTGCCTTGGATTCTTCCGAATGCTCTCCATTATTCACAACAAAGCCGTAACTATGCCGTGGAGTGGGGTGCCAGCCATGCCTTCCCTGTGCCCTGCACACACAAGCCAGCCATTCCTTCCCTGTGCCCCGCACACACAAGCCAGCCATTCCTTCCCTGTGCCACGCATACACAAGCGTCTTTCTCTAAGTAGACAGTGAGCATTCCAAACCCTCATCTGGTCTCTCCTAGCTGCTCAGCTCCCAGGAGGACAAATTGGCACAGCATCAAGTGTGGATATGTATGCTTATAGAGAAACATGTTTCGTTCTGAAAAATGAAAGAAGGAGGGATTGAAGGGTGAAGTGTTAAAGACATTTTTAGTTTGAGATGAAACAGGGAATTCGGTTCTCGAAGCTTAGGGATAAGTGGCATCTCACACAGACAGGCAGAGGCAGTGCTCAGATGCAGCTAGGTAAAGCCACCCATTGCCTCAGAAAACACCACCTCACCTCAACCAGGTGTGGTAGTACATGCCTTAGTCCCAGAACTTGGGAGGCAGAGGCAGGAGGATCTCTAAATTTGAGGCTAGCCTGGTCTACAGAGTAAGTTCCAGAACAGTCATGCCTATACAGAAAAACCCTGTCTTGAAAAATAAAACAAACCAAAACAAATCAAAACAAACCAAAACCAGCACAGAACAGAATACTTTCAATCTTTTGCACATCATGGTTTTAAACAGAAATCTCTTAAGCCATTTTGCATTTTTTCCCCTTGTGTGTGCACATGTATCAGAGTTTGAAAACGTGTGTCCTTCCTCAGGAACACCCACCTTGTTTCCTGAGACACCATCCCTCAATGGGGATCTATCTATCTACCCATCCAGCTAGGCTGGCTGGTTGACAGCCCCAGGGATCTGCCTGTAGCCTCTTGTGCAGTGGTGGAATGGATGACAAGTTAATGCCAGCAGATCAGGGTTTTCAGGGGGCCCTGGGATTTGAACCCAGGTCTTCATGCGCAGGAAGCACTTTAGCAATTGCACCTCTCCTCAACCTCTGTTAACCTTTTTGTTACAGAGATCTGTGGGTTATGACACAGGAAAGAGACTAGAGCCATTCTGAGGCAGACATCTGTACTTTGTTTTCTTAGTGTAATCCTACAGGATTAAATTAACCCTGTATTAATGGAGTGTATTCTTGGGTGAAGAGAAAGGACCATGGGCGTCATCTTAACACAAGCCAGTAAGCAGTGCTCTTGTTCCCATTAGCAATAAGCTGGTGGGCTTCGAAGTGACCCCTCGGCCGAGGATCAAAGGACAAACACACCGACTGGCTGACCACAGCAACATTTATCAATTAGGAAAATGATGCTACATTCTTAAGGACCTCCTTAAATGCAAAGAAAATAATGTTAAGGATCCATGTGTGCTTGGTGAAACATGTCCAAATGGGATTAGAGGAACATGTTTCATCCTAAGCAAATCCATCTGTGCAAACAAGCTCTGGAGTTTTCTTTTCTCTTTTTGGCTTCCGAGCCATCAGGAGCATAGTTCACATCCCTCCTTAGTCAAACACACAGCAGCACTCACTGGCATGTGAGAAAATCCAGTTTGTGTTTTTAATTCCAAGTCTGGTCTGATCTTATTTTCTCCGGAGGCTGAGAGTTTATCCTAAGGGTCCCTGCCTTTCTCTAGCTCACTCCTCTCTGAGGGACTCTCAGTGTGGCTGCAGGAAGAATAACTTCCTTAGCTCTCAGGGACACCTGAGGGCCCACAACGTGCACTTCGGCGCACGTAAAAAATCGTAGGTACCACAGCTCATATCAATACTTCAGGTCAAAAGGACCTAGTGAACACCTCATTTTAAAACAGATGACGAGCACAAGGCTTACCCATTCGTAAGAGAGAATCCAGCAGCCTCTCGCAATCCCCATCAGCACGTTCAGGGTGCGGACAGACTTCCCCACCAGCACGTGGGTGGTGGACTCGCAGACCTCAGGAGCGAACGAAAAGCCTTTCAGAGTGCTCACCACCTGGATGATGAGGTTCTGCTTCCTGTGGACCAGAGAGTCAGAGTCAGCCGTCATGCTGTGTGTCCATCAGAGACACGGAGGCACAAAGTCTGGCTTCATTTCGGTTGGAGTAGAACGTGGGATTTGGGGAAACAAGAGCACTTCAGACCCCAGGTCTGAGCCCGTGAGGCCATGGATGGTGTCCGCACAGACACAGGCTATCTAGGAGCAGTATAGGCACTGGGAGCCAGGTTCCTGCCATCTGTCCATACAGAAGATCATGTACGTCGTGCATACCTGACCAGTGTGTACATGGTCTTCTAAAACATGTATCATTTTGTATGTGTATGCCTGTGTGCCATGACATTTGTGTGGACGGCAAAGGACAACGGTCACAGTAGTATCCTTCTTTACCACGAGGGTTCCTGGGATGGAACTCAGGTCATCTGGCTTGGTGGCAGAACCTTTGCTTCCAAGAATCCCACTAGCCCAGGACACAGATTATTATTTGCTTACTTTACTTTGAAAATGTAACATTATTGGAGTGTCAAATGCAGTTTTTTTTTCCCATTTAAAAAAAGAAAGGATTCAAATTAAATTATCCCTTTAATTCCCAAAGCTCACTCGAATTTTAACCTGTCATTTTCTTAATGCCGGGAACGCCTTTTTGGTTTTCAAAATGTTCTTCTAGCATCTTTACATAGGCCTTTAGTTCTGATCTGTTGCTTCTTTCTTTTGCAGTGTGCTTGCCAGTATCCATGGCCCCCTGCCTCAGAATTGTTTGGAAATCCCTAGTGAATCAGGAACTGTGAGCAAGGCCCCCTAGGCTAGGCTACGCTCTGTGTCACAGAGACAAGAGCTTCTCTCCTCTCAGTGGGCAGCCTGCTGAGCTCCGAGCTTGGGGACTGTCTCTTAGTCTCATCTCCCATGTCTAGCACTTCAAGAGCCCAGCCTCCCTGGGAGAAGGGCTGACCTCCATCAGTGACTAATCTTAGGGTTCTGTAGAGTGCGTCAAGATAGCCCCTCCCCAACCAACCTGGAGACTCTGTGCCTGTTAGCATTCTCAGAGAGGATTAAGTTTAGAGCTTCACTTCAGAATATCTGATCTTCTCTGTTCCAAGCCTGGCAGCTACCAGCAGCTCGTGGATGTGCTAATTGGGAACAACTGCTTTTTTATGGCTTTGTTAATCAGACGTGGAATCAGACTGTCCAAGGTCTCCTTAAGATACACAAAACATGTAAGATGAGAAGGGAGCCAAGGACTGTGCACCCAAAACCAAAGGTTTCTTTTTAAATCCTTTAATGAGAAAAATAACTGGCTATCATTTTTTAAACTTACAGAATAATCAAAGGCTTTATTATGCTCATATTCAGCATCGCTAGAGTGAACTGAAGTGTTTGTGGCACATCACAAGTTATTAATAAGAGTAAGAGGACTCCTCTTCTGCAGTATATGACAGACAGTGTGTAAAGCACTGGTGTTATTGTCTCCATGCCACAGGCAGAAAAAAGACCCACCACAGAAAGCGCTCTATCCGCACATGCTTCCTGAAGTGTGTTTTCACCGAAATGTCCCAATGTTTTGATGAGAGTCTTAAAAACCTCAAGACCTATGATTGATATATATATATATGTGTGGTTTTCCCCTTTAAACACAAATTTGAAAATCCTTTGCAAGGAATATGGTACTGTATATTTTTCTTGGATGTTCTTTATTGTGCTAAATGTTTAAGGGGGATGATAAGAGTAAGCCAGCAGACCATTAACCCTTCGACAAGATGCAGAGATAGCTGCTTTAGACCAGATGTAGAAAGCTTTCCACCAGTGTTCCTTTAAGATCGGTAAGGAAATGTTTCAACCCGCACTACTCAGTTTATTGAGCATTCATAGGGTGAGGGGTAGACAAAGAGAACCATTAGAAATTAAGCAAGCAAAGGGGAGAGGAAAAAATAAGATCTCCTAATGCTATACAAAGGACCCAAAAAGCTTTTTGCTCTGGACTGCCCCCACTTAACTACATTTTTAATTTCCAGGGATCTTCTAACCCCATAGCAGTTACAGTGAGTAAAAGTAAACAGTCCAGTTCTGTGGATGGCCTAAAGACATGAAGATCTACAGTACCTACAAGAAAAGGCTGAAGTTTGCGATGGATAGAAAGTTATCAAAACAACAAGTACTTACTCAGATGGCATGCTTGTCATGACTAATGTTCTCGCTGGCTAGAGATTTCAAAAGAGAAGAACAAAAAACAGTCAAAATATAAGAAATAGTTTTCCTACAGAAATAAACTTTAATAAGTTTTTCGAACAGTTACATCACTTAAACACAAACATTTAAGTATATACACACATATACACACGTGCACACACATATACACAAACACAAAAGAACACTATAGTACTAGGAAAAAAAATGAACAGGAGATGGAAATCTCCAAGTGCACACTTTAAAGTTACAAAGGAGTGAGAAGGGTACTCTAAAGCCGGCCCGCTCTTCCTAAATTATGGGCAACAATGGCCTCATTTCAGACACACTCCTATAGGATACTGTTTGTGGTCAGGAGGGCCCAGCAAATCTCACACATCTCATGGATGGTAAAGGAATTCCTAGGTCACTACTATCTGTTGCTATAGAGACGGCATGTATTTATGGGTGGTAGTTGCGATTGAGACAGGGTCTCAGTATATAGGGCAGTCAGTGCTCTTAACCACTGAGCCATCACTCCAGCCCCTCAACTGTTTCTTGACTGGAGAAACAACACTGATGGGGGCACTCCTTGAAGGGGACACACTGATGACTAGACACTGTGCACTTGGGAAAGATGGCGACTAAAGAATACAGAGGTAATATGAATCTGAAAGATATGCAGAGGAAGAACTCTGAGGATGCCTGTTAACAGAACTACTCACCCATCCTTTCAGCTAACCTGTTTACTGTTAACCCCTTCCGCACTTCTGGTAACCCATATACAACAGCAAAAGCATAGCTGCCTGGATTGGTTCTAGATTCCAGGCCTGGATGTGAGAGACTCCAATCATCCAACATGATTCTGGCTGACCCTACACTATCTTTTACATCTCTGACACAGCAGGAGTGGGACAGCCCAGGGAGTCACAGGCCAGGGACAGCACTGCTCCAGGGAGCTACAGGCCAGGGAACAAGCTGTCTCTAACCTGCTGGAGCTTGGCAATCAGATGCTGGGTACCTCCCCCATTCCCCCAACACAGACACCTTGTATCCCTTACCGCTTGACCACCACAGGTTCTCTTCAGTCACAAGCTTGTTCTCTAGAGTGCCACACAGGTTCACATACCAGCCACATCGGCACATGGCTGGCGATTCCCAGCGTCTTTTGGGGGGGTAGTTTCTAACCCCTAGATCAACTGCTCTGCTCAAAAACCAAACCACTGCACCAGCCAGACAATTAGGAAAAAGAAATAAAAGAGACTAAAACTGGAAAGCAAGTAGTAAAACCACTTCTACCCACAGATTGGATTCTACACGGGTTGTTTTTCTGGCTTTTCAATAAAAACAACTGCAAGAACTAAATAAATTCAACAAGGCTTCAAGAAATAAGATCAACACACAAAATCAGTTATAATTCTACAAATTCTTAGTCAGCGGTTGGAAAAGTATATTAAAAAAGCAGTTCCCAATGACAGCAGTATGAAAAGGAACAACACAGAATAAATTCAATGAGTGGCACAATATTGTTCACTAAAAATATATTGAAGGGCAGGGGAGAGGCTTAGAGGGTAAAGTGCCTGTACAAATGTGAGGATTGAAGTTCAGATCTCCAGGAACCAAGTAAACTCTGGGTGGTCATTACAAATACTTTGTAACCCCATTGGTCAGAAGCCAGAGGCGTTGGCCAGAACAAGCTCCCTTAGCTAGATTAGCTGAATCACTGAGCTCTGGGTACAAATGTAAGACCCTGTCTCTACATACCAGGTAGAGAAGAGTCAAGGAAGACATCCAATGAAATCTCTGGCCTCCCCAACAACTTAATTGAATAAAAAAAAAAAAAAAAAGACTGAGGGCTGGAGAGATGCCCCCTTGGTTAAGAGCATTGGTTGCTCTTCCAGAGAGCCCAGGTTTGGTTCCCAGGACCTACATGGCAGTTTATCTGTTACTCCAGTTGCAGGGGATCTGATACCCTGGGCTGGTAGGCCCCAGGCACATACGTGGTGTGTGCACAGAAATACAAGTAGGTAAAATCTACATACATATAAAAAAGAAGTAAAAAAAAAATCAAAACCTCAATTTGAAAGTAAGCAAGCAGCTTGAAGAGACATGGCTCCAAAGAAAAGGAAGGGATGGCCATCAAATAGTGAGGTTAGATATTCCAGTGAAGGGGAAAACACCACTAAAGTCCCACTGAGAGGACGCGTGACACCTATTCCATTGGCTGTCTAAAAACCAACACAGTAGAAAACAAGCCTGACAGGACTGTGAAGGAGCTGGAGGCTCGGTCACCGCTGGTGGGAAGGTAAGATTTAGGGAACAGTTTGTTTTTGCCCTAAAAGGTGCCATGGTCAGATAACCAGCAAAGGGCAGAGGGTGACTTACAAAGAATTCAGCACATCACTTATCTGGCTCACAGGACACAGCACACAGAGACTTGGAAAGCAAACATAGTCGCAAAGGCAACAGCTGGCAAAACTTAGGGCTGGAGGTAAGAGCTGACTGTAATATGCAGCAGGTGATCTTGGTTGACAGCTCCATAGGGCTTAGAGTCACTATGGAAACAAGCTTTGGACTAGGCTATGAGGCACTGTCTCCATCAAATTAGCTGAGGCTGGAAGACCTAAATGTAGACAACTCCATCCCATGGGGCTCCACACAGGCTGAATAAAGAGGAAGCAAACTGAGTGCCAGCATTCTTCGCTCTCTGGTCCTGACTGCAGATGCCATGCTCCCAGCTGCTTCAAGCTCCTGCTGTCTTGTGTGCCCTGCCATGATGGGTGGCACCCTCAGACTGTGAGCCCAGATGAACTCTTCCTTCCTGACGCTGCTTCTGTTCAGTTTTTTCATAGCAAAAAGACAAGTAGCAATTATATAATACGAATGACGATTGTTTATGGACATGAGATGTCCACCCAGTAGGGCCTCAACTGATTTTTGCTCCACTCTAGTTTGAATCTTCAAGGTCTCACCAAAGGTTATATGCTGATGTTGGGAGTGATGGGGCCTTTAAAACATGGGCCCTGGTCTTAGGAGAGGGGAAGGAAGGAGCCGTGTGTGTGTGTGTGTGTGTGTGTGTGTGTGTGTGTGTGTTATAAGAGTTCTCCTCCCCCATGCTCAGTTTTTGCTTCCCTACCACAAAATATAAGCAGGTTTGCCCTGCTACAGGCTCTTACCATGATGTATCATCACAGGACAAAGCAAGGGGGCCAGCTGATCACCCAAACCGGGAGACAAAATAAACACTTCTTAAGACAGTAAGCTCAGGTAGTTTGTAACAGTAAACCGAATCTGACTGACACACTCTTCCACTGGGGAAACTATGAGCAAACCCATTTCAACATGCCTGACAGTCTAAAATCAACTTAAAAGGCAAGCTGAGGCCCACAGAGTGTGAGGAACGCACAGACAAAGCAAAGATGGCCACCAGAAGAAAGCCGTGACTCACAGCCCATGACCTCTGGGTGACATATTAATTCTATCTTCTCTCTGAATTCATTTGTTTATTATCCTTTGAACAGGAGATTAGGGCTTTCTAATTCCCTTACAAATTAATGTGCTGAATATTCATTTTATAGTAGTGTAAGATTCATTCCTGTAACTTTAAAAAATAACTGTTTCAGTTTTGAGAGTCTCTTGAAATGCCCAGCGGACCTACTCTGCTGGACTCTGATGGAGGCCATTGAGCTCTGCCAGTACAGGAAACCATCACCCCCAGCAGGTCAGGGCAAAGCCTGTGAACCACACAGCAGAGCAGTGCACCCCAGGCAGCTCAGACCAAGACATATCTTTCATTGGCTTTTTAGGCTGAGTCTCTAGAACTTTGCTAAGCATTTTTCTCATTTTCTATTTTGTTCTCTCCTAGCCTTTGATGAGAAAGCAATGTGCAAGAATCTGTCTGTTTGGTCTGGTCATTTGGTGTCCTATATAAACGGGACCGAGTTTCTTCTGAGGAAGAGGAGAGGAACTAACTTGTTAATAAATTAACTGTTAGATCCCAGAAAATTAGGTCTAAAGATGCCCCAGTGCCTACAGTCCTTACACAATAAACTATAATTTAGTGTCTAAACTGAGCAAAAGCCTAACTTAGCGGTTAACATTGTGTTAAACAGTCCCAGCTGGGCACAGTGGCAGGTTCCAGTCACTGGCAGGCAGGAGGATGGGCAGATCATCAGGCCTTGTTCAGATGAAGTAAATGTCAAACTATACCCATCAGGCTCTTTTGATTTTCACCCCCAGATGTTGCCAGGATCAGATCTCTGAACCTGGCTGCCCAACGTAGAAACTGCAATTTGACTAAGTTTGCTTCACAGTATCAGTTTGGTACCACTGCGTGATCACGTGAAAGCACCTTCTAGGCCACTGTACCTGCTAATCTTTTTGCTCCCGAGTCACAGGCTAGTCCTTCCTTGGTTTCAAGATCCACGGGCTTGTACTTTAAGTTTGAGTTTATTTGAGCAATGTTTGGACTGGACAGGGTCCAGGCCTGGATTACAGCCCATGATTATCTAATCTGGATCCATTAGAGGCCTTAGAAGTTCAGCCACTTAGAGAAAAGGCCTGGGTCAGATGGTGGGCAGTGGTTTGAAAAGGGGACCGGCAGGACCATCCTAAGCCACAAGCTGCAAGGCCGCTGACTTCAAACTGTCATGCTGGAAAAACAGGTTAACTGTCCCCCTAAACACAGTGACTGGAGCCACACTGAAAAATTTCATCTAAGCAAAAGTGCTCAATTTATGGGGTGTTTTACAGAGAGTCCTTAAATGCCTCAGAATCAGTGGAATGCATTTCTGAGACGCATAAATGAAACTATTTCCTTTAAGAGGTGTGTCTGCGCGCGCATGCAGGCACGCACGAACGTAAGCACGCACGCACAGGACGTTGGATCCCTGAAGCTGGCGTTACATTATGAGCAGCCGGAAGGATTATCCTCTGGTGGGACAGCAAGTCCTCATCACTCCTGAGCCACCTCTCTTCCCCACATAAGAATCTTAAAGAGGACTTGATAATAAAGGGATCTTTTATGTTATATAAC